GACCCCGCCACCCCGCCGGCCGCGCCCACACCCTTGGCAGGGAGGGGGTCGAGGGGGTCCCCGGGGCCCGTGTGCCGCCTTCGTTTCCAGAAGGGAAAGGAGGATTTGCAAAGGAGGCAAAATACTGTCACCCCCCTTCTACTTAGGAGCATTTCCAGGCAACCACCTGGCTTTGCTTCGGGAATACTAGAGTGTAGCACCCGCCGCATTGGGGGTATTCGGCTGGGTATATTGTTCTGGAGGTGGGATTGTGCAGGTGCCTCTTCTCAAGTCCGTTCGCTTCCCTCCCTTAAAATAGCCGTAAGCTCCTCAAGGCAGGAGCCGTCTTCATTCCTTTTTCTTTTAATTTCCTCCCAGCGCCCTGCCTGTCCTCTGCCTCAGTAAGTACTCGCGGAATAATCATTAACGCACTTAGCAGTAACTGGCCCTGGCTCTGTTCTCCCCCCGGAGGCAGCGTACTGCTCTAAGGCTGGGAGGGGCTCCCCCTGCCCCTGAGAGCCCTTGCACGCACACTCGCAGCAGGGCTTCTCCACGTGGACTCTCCAGCACTGCTGGTCATGGCAGTCTACTGCCTGGCGCCCCTCCGCCCCTCCCGACTGGGCCGCTTGCTTGGCTGTGCCCGGCCCTCATCCTCACTGCCGCCTGCCCGTGACCACACAGCCCCTTTCCCCAGACAGAAAACAGGCGCAGCAGATTGGGTGATTGCCCGGAGCCCCGGGAGTCCGGGTTTGATCCCAGTCCACAGGGCGGCGGGGTGCCCGGCTGCAGCAGCCGGGTGTCCCCACGGTGGACCTTGTGTATAAGGCTTTGAGCTTGGGGGAGGGGAGAGGGGCGGGAAGAGGGCTCTGTGTGCTTGCAGAGGTGGTGGGGCTGAAGCTAGAGATGAGCTGGAAAGGGGGAGATGCCGCCTCTCTCCCAGTTTGCAGCCGCTCTGTGGGCAGAGTGAAGATGGAGCTGCAGAGGCAGTCCCAGGAAGGCCGGGCGGCCCGCGGCTCTCGCAGGACTGCCCTGGTAGCGCCTCCCACCCCTTGCTTCACAGCTCAGGGAGGGTCACTGTGCCATGGGCCGCGGGGTCGCCTTCACACCTCACGGGGCACTCAGTGGAGCGGCAGCAGGCTGGGGCGGATGGGGTGTCACGGGCTGCTGGGCAGTGGCCAAGAGGCTGGAGCCAAACGCCACGAGAGGCCTCGTGGCTGAGCACATGTCAGGTACACGGCTTGGCCGAGCCAGAAATAACTGGGAAAGCCTTCCAGGAGCGCTGCAGAATTCCTGAAAGAGCAGGGCTCAGAGTTGAGGCCAGAGTGTTACTGTTCCGCGATTTCATGGGCACTCACCGGGAGGCCTGGGGCACGTGAGTTTGCAGGCCGTGGAGTTACTAGCTGGCCATTAGTCAAGGCCAGTGTCGGTCTGCACTGCACTCTGTCACACAGTCTAGTGAACGGTGACAGAGTCGAGCACAAACCAAGCAGGGCAAAGGTGCCAGCGTGTTCCGGAGCCCAGGCCCAGAGCAGAGGCAGCGGTCGCCGGCCCGCCGCAAGCAGATGGCCAGCCCATCGATGCCCTTTACTGATGAGATCGAAGACCCGGCCAGGCACCCGCCGTCTTTGGAATGTTGATCTTCAGGTCTCAACTTGGGAAGGAACCTTTAATTTTTTTAGTGAGACCAGGAAGGCCGGGGGTCTACTCCAGCTGGCGCTGCTCGCGCAGGTGGGGCCAGTCACGCCGCGGTGGCACCGGGTGGCACGGCAGCCCCTGTCGCTGCCAGCCCTGCAGCTGTGTGCCTCCCTCTGAGGAACAGAAGGCAGCAGAGCCCCGCCGGGCGGCCGCTTGCTTCAGGGGAGGCAGGCTCCTCCCCGCCACAGCGGCGAAGCGGTGTCTGCGCCAGGCCGCGTGATGAATCTGTCCCCAGTGCCAGGAAGTGTTTTAGGAAAAGGCCTGTGATGCAATGCTGCGGAGTTTGGGAAAGTTCGCTTCTTTTTAAAAACAACAGCCGCTCTTCTGGCTTTGGGACGGGAAGATAAGCTGCCTGAGGCTGCCACGCCATCTGGCCGGGCGGGGAGGCCGCGGGCCTCCAGGGTGCTTTGGAGCCACTGAAGTCACCTGCTCTGACGCCCCCAACTTTGTGGTCTTTGGTCTTGGTTTGGAGACACCTGTCTTTATGTCCTAACATAAAAATGTCGGTGGGGGGCCCTCCCTGGTGGCGCAGCGGGTTAAAGCACTGCACTGAGAAGCTAAAGCCACTTCCTCATGAGTTTGATTCCCGCCTGTCCCGGAGGAGACCACATGGCGTGGCAGACCTCTCCTGGCCCGCCCGCTGCTCCCCTCAGCAGTGTGCTTCGTCGATCTGCCTGTTCTGCTCCCCACTCTGTCTCTGGTAAAGCCTCTCACCGCCCCTGAGCCTCTGGCCTGTACCCCAGTTCTGTATGTACAAATAAATAAATCTTTAAAAAAAAAAAAATGTCGGTGGGGGCATCTTGGGGTGAGCAGACAAGGGCACGAGGCCTGGCAGAGACACCTCCTGCCTGTTTCAGCCACCTCACGTTGAGTGTCTGTGAGTGGCAAGCCATCCTATGTGACAGGGTCCCCGTTGTCCAGATCTTATTCAAAACGTTGCTCCCGGGAACGATGGATTATAGCAAGGTGAAGGTGGCGAACCAGCACGTTGGAGGCACTTTCTGACTGAAAAAGGGCAGCTGAAGTAGGTTGTGTCCCTCCGGCCAGCACCCCCGGCCTGCTGTGACCCCCTCGTGCAGCCCAGGAAGCCCAGTCATGAGTCAGTGGAAGCCTTGAAACCAAACACACTACTCCTGAGGTGTCAGAACCACCGAGCACTTCCTGGAAACGAGGCCACACCAGCAAGGTGATGGCGCCCCCCCCCCCCGTGATGGGCTCAGCTGGACAGCCCATCGGGGCAGCAGAGGGGTGCCAACAGGCGACCCAAATCCCAGCAGAAATCTGGGCTCACTGGGTGGGCTTAAACCTCCAGATTAGAACCACAGCCCCCCCACACCCCGTTGAGACGGACCACCCTGGTGCAGGACTGTCTCCTGTGCTGACCCCCAGCTCCCTGGCCGGCTCCATGGTGCAGTGGCCACTGCACAGGGATGGCTTAG